AGCAGCAGCAGCAGGGGCAGCAGCAGCAGCAGCAGGGGCAGCAGCAGCAGCAGGGGCAGGGGCAGCAGCAGCAGGGGCAGCAGCGGCAGCAGGAGCTGCAGGAGCTGCAGGAGCTGCAGCAGCAGTGTGTGAGCAGCACCGCTCCATCCCCAGGGAGAGGATGTTGAACATTCCAGGCGTGGGAACCCTTTGGAGAAACTCTGGAATCTGTCCCGGCGCAGGCACCGGGCGAAAGGGAAGCAGAGGAGGGGACCCTGGGGACCCTCTGGCCACCACATCTGTGGTGATGAGACAAAAAACCCGGCTCCAAATCCCGTTCCTCGGGCACGATCCCGTTTTTCACAGCCTTTGGCTCCGTTTTCCAGCGGGGATTTTTCCTGAGAGCTCTGACCCCGTGCCCTGGGCTCTGCAGGCCGGACACTTCCCAGCTGTCCGTCCGTCCTGAGGGCTCCCAGGGGGTGGAAAAGGCTGGAATGCGGAGCTGTGAGCTGGGAATGGCGGCGTGGGGGAGCTCCGGGTGCCGATCCCGGAATGCGGGCTGCGGGTGGCGCGGGCACAGGGCTGGGAAGAGGCGCAGGGAAGAGGCTCTGGAATGGGTGGAGAACGGAGAATTGGCTCTGCCGGATGATTCCGGCCGCGTGTAATGAGGAAAGCGGGGAAATTGAGGTTGGGCATGGGGAAGAAACCTTTCCCTGTGAGGGTGGCGAGGGCCTGGCACAGGTTATCCCGTGGATTCCCCATCCCTGGAAGTGTCCGAGGGCAGGCTGGAGGGATCTGGGCTAACGGGAGGTGTCCCTGCCCATGGCACAGGATGGGGCTGAGCCGTGCCGCGATCCCAAAGCTCCAGGCAGCCGAAATCCCCGGAGCAGCTGCTGGCACCGCGCCGTTGCCGGGCCCAAATCCGCGCTGCGTGGGAATCGGCACCCGGAACCCGCTGGAATTTGTTCGGGAGAAGCCTGGGTGGGCGGAGGGGGTGCAGTGGGGTCCCTCCGTGGGGAAGGGGCTGCAGAGGGGACACCTGGGGACGAGCTGTGGCTCTCCAGGCACTCATGTTTCCCTGGATAACAGGGGGGCAGGATTCCTGGCGAGTCCCTGCCTGGGGAATCGCACCTGGGATGCTGCTGGGAGCAGCGGGCGGCTCTGGGATCCCCGTCCCCCCTTCCCTGGCCGGGCAGGGCCGGCACATTCCTGGCCCCGGGCTTCAAAGGCTGTTTCTGGATAACAGAGCCGGCAGCCCTGGCAACCCTGGCACGGCCCTGGCAGCAGCTGCTGCTCCTGCGCCCGGCACAGGAGCCTCCCCCGCTCCTGCCGGGACCCCACGCCCCCCTGGCCTCGGCTTTTGGGCTCAATCCTTCTTCTGGGGGGATTTCAGTCTCTTGGGGGTCAATCTTTGCCCTTGGTGGGCTGCAAATTTATTGGGTGACCCCTGATCTAGGAGGCTGCAGATTTTGGGGTGAATCTCTGGGGGCTGCAGCTTTTGGGGGCTGCAGATTTTTGGGGGTAGCCCCCTGCTCTGAAGGGCTGAACCTTTTGGGGTGAATCTTTGGGGGGTGGCTACAGCTCTTTTTAGAGGAATGTTTTCCCTGAGGGGCTGCAGCTTTTGGGGTGAATCTCTGCTCTAGGGGAGGGGGCTGCAGCTCATTTGGGAGGAGCAGGGCCGGGCCCTTTTCCTGAGCAGGATTTTCCCAGGTCTGATCCAGCTGTTTTCCCTGTGTTTTTTTCCATGTGCTGCCCCATCCCCTGCGGATTGTGGATTATTCATTAGGTAAGAACATCCTTCCTCTCCTCTTTTGGACGGAAAGTGGGGCAGGGGAGGCCACACGAGGATGCTTTGTGTGATTCCCGAGTTGTGTGGGAGGAGGATTCCTCGGATCTGCCTCTTCCTTGGAGCTCCCCTGGGCAGGTGGCACGGAGGGGACGGGAAGAGCTCGTTCCTTTTGTTCCCTGCCATGATAAAACCCCTCTCTCCCCGCTGGATAAAAATTCCCTGAAGCTCAGGGATCACAGGGATCCGCTTGTGCTGGAAAGGGAGGTGTGAACTTCCCGCCCAGCATGCCCTGAGAATTCCCTCCTGGAAAACAAACCCCAAGTGGCTCTGGGATTTATGGAGCCTGCTCCAAATCCTCAGGGTCACTTGGTCAAGTGGGGTAAATTGGGAGAGCTTTGCCCAAGGTTGTGACACTTAATTAACTCCAGGCTCTGCCACAGTGCCGTGGGAAACCTGAGCCTGGCCCTGCAGCCTCTGGAGAGCTGGGAAGGGACTGGGAAAGGGCTGGGAAGGGGCTGGGAAAGGGCTGGGAAGGGGCTGGGAAGCGAAGGGTGCAGGAACAGCTCCCAGAAAAGGGTTGGGTGGCCTTGGTGGCATTTTAAGGGCACTAAAAGCAGCTCCAGCCTTTATTTTTTACAGTTTTCTTTATGCTTTATGATGGTTTCCTTAGGCTAGTCCATAATTTATTCCTTAGGTTATTCCATAGGTTATTCCTCAGTTATTCCTTAGGTTATTCCTCAGTTATTCCTCAATCATTCCTTAGGTTATTCCTTAGGTTTTTCCTTAGGTTATTCCTCAGTTATTCCTCAATCGTTCCTCAATTATTCCTTAGGTTATTCCTTAGGTTTTTCCTTAGGTTATTCCTTAGGTTTTTCCTTAGGTTATTCCTTAGGTTATTCCTCAATCATTCCTTAGGTTATTCCTTAGGTTATTCCTTAGGTTTTTCCTTAGGTTATTCCTTAGGTTATTCCTTAGGTTATTCCTCAGTTATTCCTCAATCATTCCTTAGGTTATTCCATAGGTTATTCCATAGGTTATTCCTCAGTCGTTCCTTAGGTTATTCCATAGGTTATTCCATAGGTTATTCCTCAGTTATTCCTCGGTGGGTTGGAGAAGGCAGAGCTGAGGGGCTGGTGCTGGAATCAGGCAGGAATGGGATGAGCAGGATGATGGAGAGGGATGCAGGATGTTACTTCGGGATCTCCATGAAACAATTCCAAGGGAATTTTCTCCGGAGTGAAATCCTGGGAAGGGAGGCAGCTGCCCTACATGGGACTCTGGCAATGGCAATTCTCCAAAGGGAGAGGGAATGAATTTTAATGGAATCTTGAAAGACTTTAAATTTTCATGTTCCCGTCAATTATTCAGGACAGCGGAAAAGCGACTTTAAAGAGCAAAGGAAAGGGAGAGGCCACTCGGATTCCTGGAGGGGATCTGCATTTTGCTCCAGCGCGGGGAAACGGGGACGTTGGAAAAGCTCTGGTGCCGGGGAGGAGGGATTTTGGGAAGTTGGGATGCACAGGGGCAGGGCAGAGGGAACGTGGGCTGGCAGAATTCCCGGCGGGAGCTGATCCCGTTCAGTTTTAGCATCACCACATCCGTGGCCGCAGCAGGAGGCGTTTGGGGGTCTCCGTGCTGGGAATGCCGAGGCAGGGATGAATCCTGGCCTGGGACACCACTGCCAATTCCTGACCTGGGAAGGGATTTGGGGGATCCTGGAGCCCCATATCCCGGTGGGATAACTCCCCCCGAGCCCCAGGGGGGGATCCGTGTGGAATGTTTGGTGGGAGCCGATCCCAGCCGGGGCTCTCCGTGCCGGCACGGTGGAGCAGGGATCCAGCCCCGCTCCATCCCCCGCTCCCGAGCCGCGGCTGTGCGGGGATCCCGGAGCCTCTGGCACGGCTTTTCCCGGGAGCAGCCTGGCTCCTGCCGTCCCCATCTGTGCGCGGGGCTCTCGCTGTCCCCGGCGCGCTGCTCCGGCCTTGCCTCCCTCCGCGGCCGCCCCGCCGCTGCTCGGGGGCTCGGCAGCACAAACGGGGCTTTGATTCCTGCTGCTGGGAGCTGCCAGGCCTGGCTCCCTTCCCAGGAACCAGCGCCGGGCCCCACAGAAGCGCCCTTTGTGCGAGCCGGGGGCTGCGCTGGGGCCGGGGGACAGCGCCCGCCGGAGCCGCTCCAGGAGGAGCCCGAGGAGCTCCGCGGGCTCCGATTGTGCCGCTCTCACCCAAAAGAAAGCGGCCGCGGCTCCTCCTTTGACCCGCGACCGCTCTGTCCCCACCCGGGGGGGTGACGGGTGCCAGCAAAGGAGCCTTTGTCCCCAGGGCTGCGGGGGAAAGGGGACAGAGCGGCCCCACGGCCGGGCTCCCTCGGGAATTGTCCCCCAGCCGCCATTGGGGTCCCCGGGGCTGTCCCGGTGTCCCCGCTCGGGGAGGTGACAAAGTGATGGTTCAGCTTTGTGTCCTCGCAGCTCCGTCCTGTCCCCGGGGCACGCCTGGAGCGGGGTTTGGGGTGCAGGGAGCCACTTCCCGGGATTTGCTGTCTGAAATCAGCCTCAGCAGGGCTGGGGACAGCTCAGGGCCCCCAGGGGATGGATCCAGCCCTGGGGACAGCAGGATGGCCCCGCTTCCCACTGCTCCTCCGGGGGGGATGGAATCCAGCGCAGGGAGGGGAACTGTGGGGGGACCCGTGCCATAAATCGGGAATTCTGCGGCGGTTTTATGTGAGGGAGTGGAAATTCAGCCCGAGAACAAAGAGATGATTTAGGGAACAGGTGAAAAATGGCACCTGGTGCGGGAAACTCGGAAAAGAATGGCTCTGGATGCCACGGGGCCTTGGAAAGGTCCTGGATCTCACCCAGTCCCCAGGAAATTGGGAAATCTGCCTTGGTTTGGGTCTCTCTGCTCGGAACCTGTTCCCTGCAAGGAGCCGCCTGCTCTGATTTCCTGGATTTGTGCGATCCAGCCCTGTAATCCGAGGAAAACCGGGTGGAAGGAGCCCGGGGATGGCTCGGGGCAGCCCCGAGCTGCGGGGAAGGAGCTCCTGGAGCCGCCCGTGCCCGTTTTCCCCCTCTGGAAGCCGGGAAGGTGCCAGGGACTGACATTTCACGACTCATTTGGCCGCGGTGAGGCAGGAAAGTGGGATTTAGGCGGAGTTTTTCCAGTTTAATCCGCCGGGATGGTTTCAGATCCCTCAGCCCCCTGCCAGCCCCGGCTGGATAAACTTTCCCTGCCTTCAATCCCAAACGTTTGTGCAGCACAAATTCTGCCTTGAGGGTTTTTTTTTTCCCCTTGTCCCGGACCCACGGCGGCTCCTCCCGAGTGTTTTTGGTGGCGGTGGCCGAGAGGGGAAACCTCAAATCCTCGCAAAGCAATTACCGCTAATGAGACACTTCCTACACATCTGGTTTCAATCCTGGCGGCGTTTCGGGGACTTGCAGAGCTTGGGAAGGGAGGAAGGTGGGGGAATCCCGGCCTCTTCCTCTTCCCTCCTTCCCAGCGTGGCCCCAGGGATGCTCCTGAGCTCCCATCCCATCTCCTGATCCCGAATTTCGGCTCTGCAGGGAGGTGGGGTCGGTGCTGATGTGCTGCCAGTTGATTGATCTGGTTTTGAGAGCGGCTGTAACGTGCCTAATTAGTGTATAATTAACAAAATTAACAAAAGCGTGCCTCAGACTTCAGAAAATTCCTGAATTCGTTGCCAAGTGCGAGGAAAAGGGAGAAACTCTCGGGCTGCGTTCGCAGGAGGGGTTTCAATATGAAATTGCTGGGAGCTGCTGGTGGCCAGCCTGGCTTTTTCCAGCTCCTTGTCCCGGTTCCTGGACACTCCCAAATCCATCCCCATCCCATTCCCTGGCAGCAGCAGCTTCCCCTCCTCACAAGGCTGATCCTCCAGGCACTCCTGCCCTGCCCGTGCTTGGTTCAAAGGCACTTCCCAGAGCCTCCTCTGCAGGGGGAGCTCCGGCCTGGCTTTTCCAGGGAATAAAGGGAATAACCCGGCTGAGCTTTGCCCCGGATAAGCTCTGGGAGTGACTCAGGAGCGGCTCCAGGGCCAGGCCAGGCCACACGTGGCTTCCCAGCAGTGCCACTTGTCCCAGGCAGCGGCGGTGACTCAGGCACGTCCTGGCTGCCTCAGCAAAGCCAAGCAGGGCAGGGCAGCTTTGGAATCCCCCAGCACCTGCCCTGCCGTGCTTCCCGGGAATATTCCCTGCTCCAAGCGTGCTTCTGGCCAGGGAAACTCGCCACAGCCGAGTGCCTGGCCTTGGAACTGAGCCTCCCACTCTCCTTTCGCGTTTTGTTGTGTTGGATCCAGAGTAAAACAAACTTCCCGCTCTCCTCGATGTTCTCAGCTGCGCCACAGAGCCGCAGCTCCGGCAGGGAAAATCAAAGCCGGGGGAATTTTGCAGGGATTGGGAGGAGGGTCGGGCTCAATTGCACTTTTGTTCTGGAAATCGGGGGGAAGGCGTGAGCCCTGCTGGGCTGGGAGGGACAGGGAGATCTGGGATGGACGGGAATGGTGTGGGAAGGGCTGGGGTGTCCATCCAGAGCCTTGGGTGGATGTGGCTGAGCACAGGAATGGTCTGGAGTCATCCAGGGGTCATTCCTGGCCTGTGGCTCCCCAGGGTCAAGTGTCCAGTGTGGCTGTGCAGGGATCTCCCGAGGGACAGGGAGCTCTGGGATGGACGGGAATGGTGTGGGAAGGGCTGGGGTGTCCATCCGGAGCCCTGGGTGGATGTGGCCGAGCACAGGAGAGCTTTGGTGTCCCCGTGAGTGACCCTCAGCTTGTGGTCAAGTGTCCGGTGTGGCCCAGGGGCATCCCAAAGCCTTTCTAATCCTTCTGGGATCGCCCCCAGGCAGCGCCAGCAGCGCTCCCAGAGCCTCCTGATCCTTTTCTCTGCTTTCCCTGGAACTCACCTCTGCCCCTGCCAGGGCTGTGGCTGTCCCCTTGTCCCTCTCCAGGCTGGAAAAGCACGAGGGAAGCGTCCCACACCCCAGATTCCACCTGTCTGGAGCAGCCCTGGAGGGCCTGTGTGGATTTTTCACTGGGAATTGCAGTGTCAGGATGAGGAGGAATGGGATAAACAGAAAGAGGGGAAATTCAGGATAAATTTATCAGGGCAGTTCCTCCCTGTGAGGGAGTAAAATGCTCTCCCAGAGAAGCTGTGGCTCCTGGAAGTGTCCAAGGCCAGCTTGGAATTCCCATGGAAGGGGATGGGATTTAAGGTTCCACCCAGGCCATGCTGGGACTCTGTGAGCAGAAGAGGGGCCAAGAGTCAGGTTCCAGCCCGGGAGCTCCCCGTGGGACAGGGCCCTGGCTGGGTGACAGCTCCCGCTTCCACAGGCAGGGATTCCAGCCTGGAATTCCCCACTTCCCTGGAGGAGCGATCCAGGCTGGCAGAGCCATTAAAACGCTCAGCTGTTAACCCTGGGCCTCCTCTCTTATCATTTTTCTCCTTTCACTCTGTTTTCCTCAGCCCCAAAAGTGCTTCCGGCCCTGGCGATGCCTCTGGAGAGGAGGGATCAGGCTGGGATGGGAGAGGGAAACATGGGAAGCCATGGCAGCTCCGGGTTTAGCTCCTGAACATTGTCTGGTTTCAGAAAATCATCCCTTGGAGCAGAAAACCCACGGGATTTGATGGTTAATGGAAATTCTGAGCTTTGGCTGTGCCTGGGATATTCCCCAGGATCTCCTGGAGTGGCAGCTCCTCGTGGATCAGATCCCGAGGATGGAATCCAGCACGGTCAGGATAGTCAGGAGTCCCTGCTGGGATGTTCCTGGTGGGATTTGTGCTGTGCTGGGCTCGGTTTTGGTGTCCTGGGGGCGTTTCCCCTCGTTTTGCCGGGCAGGATTTGCCGTTGCCATGTGCAGGATCATCGGGATCAGCCGGATCCGGCTGTTTCCCGGCTGCCTGCGGATTTGGGAGCTCCTTGTGCCACTCAAATGTGTTTAAATCCACGTGCTTGGAAGGTGGGGATGGGAATGAACTCCTGAAATGAGGGTTAATAGGGGAAGAACTGGGATTTTTGGGAATTTGAGATTTCAGCCTGTTGGAAGCGAAGGTGGCAGTGCCAGTCCTGCTGTCCCTGTGCCTCCGCTCCTTCCCAGCTGGATCTGGAGCACGTGGATGTCCCCAGGGACGTCCTTGGCCCTGGATTCCCTTCCAGGACCTGCAGCACGTGGGAAAAGCACCCAGCTCTGTTCCCTGGGACTCCCTCCTGCTTCTAACCTGTGGGATTTGGGATAAGGAATTCCCACCCCGGGAGCCTGGCCGGGATGTGGGGCAGGATCCAGCCTGGAAAGGGCTGCGAGAGACACCTGGAAGCGCCCCAGGTGGCGGAGGGGGCTTGGGGAGGAGGAAAGCTTGGGGGCTGCTCCTGTTTTCCTGCTTCTAACTCGATTTCTTCTCTCCTTTTTCTCCTCCCCTGCTTTCTAAAGAACATAGGAAGCTTCTCGCCGGTAAGTGGTGGGGGTGTCACGCCAAAAAAACCCCAAATTCCCATTTTTTCCATCCACCATCAGCCTGGCTGGCTTAGTCCCCGTCATCCTCATCCCTCGGGATGCGCGGGAGCAACGGGAGCGTCGCGATCCCAGCCCGGGATCCCAGCCCGGGAGCTCCCGGCTGTCCCCTCCTCCCGGCCCGGGATTGTCCCCACCCCCAGGGATGTGGAACTGGGATCTGAGGGCTCCTCACGTAGTGCTTGCTTCATCTTCCTCTCCATCCTCAGCCTCTCACCTTCGCCGGCGGCCGGGGAGGGCGGGCAGAGCTCCCTGAGCTCGCACTGGGCAGACTGGGAGGACCGGGCTGCTCGGGGGGACGGGGTTGGTGTTTTCCCATTGCTCAGATCCAGGGAATTCCTGTCCTGCTCCTGCCTGAGCTGGGAAGCTCCAGGTGTGGGGCAAACAGAGCAATTCCTTGGAAATCTTCAGGGAAAAGCGAGTGAGGGGGGCCGGGAGAAGCGGGGATGGGTTTCAGCTGGAGGAGGGCGGCTCTAGACTTGACAGAATAAAGGAATTTTTAAGATGAGGGTGCCCAGAGAAGCTGCCCCGTCCCTGGGAGTGTCCAAGGCCAGCTTGGATGGAGCTGGGTTGCCAGAGGAGCTGAGGAGAAGGGATTGAACCAGGATTGAATCTGGAGTGCCCCAGATTTGGGGCTGGAGCTGCTCCTTTTCCCACTTTCCTGCTCACCCCAGGACTTTTGGGATCACCGCCAGCCCAAAGCAGCTTTTTGGGGTGGTGTGGGGTGGGACAAAGCTGTGCCAGCTCAGCTGCCAGGGATTGAGCCAGGAGGGCCCCAGCTCTGGGCTTTGGGCTCTCCTTCTTCCCACTCTCGAGCTCCCGTGCTCACCCCAGGACTTTCAGGTTCGCTGCCGACCCCAGAGCAGCTTTTTGGGGTGATTCGAGGTGGGACAAAGCTGTGCCAGCTCTGCCCTCGGGTGCCAAAGGAGCTGAGGAGAAGGGATTGAAGCAGGAGCGCTCCGGCTGTGGAGGGAGCTGGATAAAGCTCCTGGATTTCCTCCCTCTCCGTGCCCCTGGCTGTGCTAATCCATGGGCTGGGCCGTGCTGATCCCGCTGGGAATGACCCCGCGGGCTCTGCTGGAAACGAGGGACACCAAACTGGCTGGGAGCCGCGGGAGGAGCGCAGGGAAGTTTCCCGAGCCCACAGCATCCTCTGCTGGCCGCCGCTTCCCGGGGCTCCCGCTCCTGGTGGATGCGGGGATCCTGCCTGGCCCCGGGGCTGCGGGCTCTGCCCTGCCCTGCCCTGCCCTGGTGCGGGGCTGGGGGCTGCTGCTCTTGGCTCTCCCAGAGCTGCGGGGCAGCTGGGAAGGGCCCT